CTCACTGCAGAAGAAGATACAGATCAAGAATAGGGCTCACAGTCACCTACGGATCCACCGCCAGTATACTGATCTTGGAAGACAATCCTACTTGGACAACGAGGGATCACCTAAGTTACTAAGTAAGCAATTCTCTGACAGGGCATAGGACTCTCACATCTGAAAACACACCCATTTCCCTGTCCTCAAACTACAAACCACATGTTTTCTATAAACGGAATATTCTTGTATAGCAATCAGACATTTCACATCTTTTTTCTGTTTCCTTCCAGCTAGGTTTTATTGTTAAGTTCATGAACTTGGTTATCTAGCATTAGCCACTTGTACAAATATTAGCTTCTGGTTTTGTTGCTTCTACGGCAGGGGGATTATTTTCAGACGACTCTGGCTTATTTTGGACTCTGAAACCCTTAACTAAACAACTTTTGGGAAAGCTGTAATGTATTCCGACACCCTTCCCTTTGCTCACTTCAACCCTGCACCCATTTCAAATGGCAAGCGAAGGGAAAGGGAGCAGAAGAGACTTCCCTCGTCTGATTGTTCACAAACATCCAGCATTTGGCAATGTTACACTTTTGTTTTCTCACACTTTTCCTTTCTTCAGTATTTATTCCTGAACGCTTAGGCGATCCCTCGTTGTCCGAGTAGTATTCTCTTCCAAGATCAGTGTAGTGGTGGAGGGTCCGTAGGTGACTGTGGAGCCCTATTCTTGATCCGCATGTTCTCCCGCAGTGAGGACATTGGTTTCCAGGTGGAAGGCGGTCCTGGTCAGGGCTGGCTTGATGCCCCCTTCCTCTTGGCGCGTTTCTCTCTTTCGCCCTCCATTTGTGCGTCTTCAAATTCTGCAGCACTGCTGGTCACAGCTGACCTCCAACTGGAGCGCTCAAGGGCCAAGGCTTCCCAGTTCTCAGTGTCTATGCCAGAGTTTTTAAGGTTGGCTTTGAGCCCATCTTTCAATCTCTTTTCCTGCCCTCAAACATTCCGTTTTCCATTCCTAAGTCCATAGTAGAGCAACTGCTTTGGGAGACGGTGGCTGGGCATCCAGACAACAAGAGAGGAATAAAAAGAGGAGAGGGAGGGAGTTTGGGATTGTTTGGATTTTCTTTTGATTTAATTTTTTTTTACAGTTGTTTTTTTAGGTTAGTAGATTTTTCTATCTTGTGATTGTTTCTTTTCTTTTTTAAATTTTTTATTACTTTATCATAATTATTACATTTATTATACATTTGTTTATAGCAGTTACATATTATTCAACACCCTCTTTAACATATAATCTTTTTCTTCTGCTTAAGCATTCCCCCCCTTTTTCCCCCACCACTGTGCTCCCCTCCCCCCCATATCAAGCCACAACTTTTACATATCATCTGTCCAAAATCTCATTTCTTCTTGTGACCTATATGTTCCTGGTTCTTGACACTCTCTCCAACAATTTTTTGAATTATTTTTATTCATATATGCTATTCTTACTGGTGTCAGATACCACTTCCATATTGTTGTTGTTGTTGTTCATTCGTTCAGTCGTCTCCGACTCTTCGTGACCTCATGGACCAGCCCACGCCAGAGCTCCCTGTCGGCCGTTACCACCCCCAGCTCCCTCAAGGTCAGTCCAGTCACTTCAAGGATGCCATCCATCCATCTTGCCCTTGGTCGGCCCCTCTTCCTTTTGCCTTCCACTTTCCCCAGCATAATTGTCTTCTCTAGGCTTTCCTGTCTCCTCATGATGTGGCCAAAGTACTTCAACTTTGTCTCTAGTATCTTTCGATCCAATGAGCAGTCGGGCTTTATTTCCTGGAGGATGGACTGGTTGGATCTTCTCGCAGTCCAAGGCACTCTCAGCACTTTCCTCCAACACCACAGTTCAAAAGCATCTCTCTTCCTTCGCTCAGCCTTCCCTAAGGTCCAGCTCTCACATCCGTAGGTGACTACAGGGAATACCATGGCTTTGACTAGGCGGATCTTTGTTGCCAGTGATGTCTCTACTCTTTACTATTTTATCGAGATTGACATTGCTCTCCTCCCAAGAAGTAAGCGTCTTCTGATTTCCTGGCTACAGTCTGCATCTGCAGTAATCTTTGCCCCTAGAAATACAAAGTCTGTCACGGCCTCCATGGTTTCTCCTTCTATTTTCCAGTTGTCAATCATTCTTGTTGCCATAATCTTGGTTTTTTTGACGTTTAGCTGCAACCCGGCTTTTGCGCTTTCTTCTTTCACCTTGATTAGAAGGCTCCTCAGCTCCTCCTCGCTTTCGGCCATCAGGTGGTGTCATCTGCATATCTGAGGTTGTTAATGTTTCTTCCAGCAATTTTCACCCCAGCCTACTTATCAATACGGGTTAAAGAAAATTAATATAACTTCCATATTAGCTTATATTAATTTTCTTTAACCCGTATTGATAAGTTTTTTAAATGTCTTTGTCCCCATAATTGTTGCCAGTCTGTTTCACTTATTTTTATCCCTAAATCTTCTTCCCAAACCTCTTTAAGGGTGTTATTTTTTGTATTTCCTTCCTTTATTTCAATTATTATCTTATATATTTTACTAGTTATTCCTCTCAAATTTTCATGCTCTTCTACAACCCTTCCCTTCTGTATTATTTGTTCAAATTGGTTAAGTTTGCTTCCATTTCTATTATTTTTTCCCCAATTTTTGAGCCATTGTTCTAATTGTATACAATGGAACCATGTCAATTTTATTTCTTTAAACTCTTCCATCATCATTTCCTTCTTCATTCCCACCTTTATCCAATCCCCTATCTTATCTAAAAAAAAATTCCCTTAACTTTTTATCCATTACTTTTTTTAGATTTTTTGGAAACTTCTTTTCCATTACAATTGGGGTTATAATTGACCCCTCCATTATTAACTTTCTCCTATATTTGTTCCATACTTCTAATGTATTGCTCAGCATTGGGTTTCTGATTTCTCTAATTTCTTTTCTCGTGAACTGTTTAAAAAATATTCCAAATTTCTTCTTCCACTTCTTCTGAGTCATTACTAAGCCAGTCTGTTCCCTCTTTTTTAACCATTCCTTCTATAGCCAATACTAATCTACTTGCTTCATAATATTTTTTAATATTAGGTAGTGCTAGTCCACCCTCTTTTTGCGGTCTGTACCATAACTGTTTATTTAATCTATTTCTTTTACTACCATTGCAGTACTTGTTTATCATTTGTTGCCATCTATAATTTATTTTAGAGTTATTCTACAAAATGGTGGGTGGAAATGCTCCAGTTCACATGTTTTTGAATGTTGTGATGCTTGGAAGCCATCTAGATTAGTATTTAATGGCCTAGCAGTTTCAAGGTCTGGCTTCTTACCACCTGGGGGAATCCTTTGTTGGAAGTTATTCTGGAAAGCATACATGAATTAGAAGCCTAATATAAAATGTATTCATTCATATTTTTTTCAAGTCTTGTGAAACTTTTAGTATTATTGTTTGTTAATTATAAAAGGAGACAGTTTGCTTGGAATAATTAGAAAGAAAGAAAACAACCTGAACTATTGGTCCCAGTAAAAAACCCATTGTAATTCATGCAATAACTTCACAGTGGTCTTCAGATTAGTGGATTTTTCAGCCTTAGTGGAGTCATTATTGTGCTGGTACGGATGTACCAGGAGCTCCAATTTTATTTGCTTTGTATTAAATGTTTGCTTGCAGTCAGGGATTCTGCAGGAAGGTGGCTTCCTTTGGTTGCAGTCGTAGGGCAAGTCACCTTTTTATTATTATTATTATTATTATTATTAAACTTTATTTGTACCCCGCTAGCATCTCCCGAAGGACTCGATGTGGCTTACAAAGGTCAAGGCCTCAACACACAATATAACAACACCTGTCCATCATCGTTAAGTTTTGGTTCCGCCCCTTGCTCAGGGCAATTGGGAAGGGAAGGGAGCCATTTTCTAGTTAGTCTCAGTAAGGAAAGCTAATGTGGAGGACGTATACAAGCTTCTCCTGTACAAAAGCTTCAACCCTTAAGACTTTCCGGGGGAAAACAGTCTTAAGAGCATCCAAAGATTTCCAGGGAAGCAGCCCCAAAACTTTGAGGAATTTCAGAGGGTGAACAGTTTGGAAGACCAAAGAACTCCAGCTGGAGAATCTACTGGCGTTACTGGTAGGTCCACTCAGTGCTCGAGAAGCAGTTCAACCCGGTAGCGGAGCCCACATCAGTAAGAATTAGATTACAGTCAGCCTGGGAGAAGTTAAAAAGAGGATTTTCCTCTAAAGTAAAGAATCAGTTATTGAAGACAATTGCCTGTCCTTCGCGGACAAGAGTAGGAAGCCACCAGTTGCATAAAAGCCTGAAATTGTTTGTTTAACTTTATTGAAGACAAGAGAAGTTTCTGTTTGTTCATTAATAAAGGACTTTGTTATACTTCACAAGCCATCTAACGATTATTTATGGTGGAAATTCTCTGAGAACTTCTCTTCAGGGCCCCCTGGCTTCCTGCTGGGTTCAAGTCCCACATCCTATTTAAAAGCAATTATTTACAGGCCCAGCGCGCGACAGAACAATTATATATGTAGTTGTCAAACCTTTCCTATCCAGAATGGTGAATTGAGTGGTTTGATTGGCCAACTGCAACATTCACACCTACCTCAAGCAGACAAGAGTTCTTTCTCCCACCCTGAACATTTCACAGATATATAAACCCCATTTTACTAATTTCCAACAGACCTCACAACCTCTGAGGATGCCTGCCATAGATGAAAGCAAAACGTCAGGAGAGAATGCTTCTGGAACATGGCCATACAGTCCAGAAAACTCACAACAACCCAGTGATTCTGTCCATGAAAGCCTTCGACAATATAGAGGAAAGTTTGTGTACATTGAATAATAATTAAATAATAATAATAATAATAATTCCAAGCTCTTAAATTTCACTCTTGACAATCACATACGCAAAAAGAAATTGGATCTCTGAGTGTATCTACTTTCACCGAGTGTTCAGTGTTTTCGCTCCAGTCCCAACCTATTAATAATACATAAAGGTGTTCCTACCAAGGTGTGCCGGCCCCTTCACGGTAATTCTTGCACTGCGACTTCCGTATGGAACAGCAATTGCAGTTTCCTCCCCTAGGAAAATTAAAAGCACAGTTTCAGAAATTATATCTTAGAAGGGAATAATCATATTTCATAACTACATTTTGCTTTTAACAGTGAAAATATGACATAGACACACAAAAACACGCTACTCTAGGTCCGCCTGGTGAATAGCACTGATTTTAAGCTACGTATGAACTTATACATTTCTCCATGTAATGAGCAATTATCTTCTATTAACTAGTGTAGCATATTAGATATTCAATTTATGTCTTGTTGTCCCGATTTTATTTCCTACTAACAGGCTTTAAAAGTGGATTTCCTGAGAATTTCCTCTATCAATAGCTATTTTGCTGGATTTTGTCCACAGTTAATTTCCTGTATCAGGTCATAGTTTTACTAAATGCTTACAAATCCACTAGCAAATACTAAATTCTAAACTACTACAGACTAAGGAACTGCAAATGAAGAAGCAGGAGATGGGAGAAGGATCTCAAATACTTGCAATTTGATATAAATGTTCATTATTTCAATTCTAAAAAAGACTTATAATCTGAAACTTGGCATGTACGTAGCAACATAGGCCCCTTTCCAAACAATGCATATTCTTTACTTTAGTAAAATGTATATACTAGCTTGGTTGATCCAAAAAAAATGGTTCAAAACTCATTTTGGATGTAGGGGGTGCTGGTGATTCGATTTGGAAAAGAATTCAAAATGTTTCCAAAAAAAAACAAAACAACAATACCAGGATTGTGGCACAGTTGGCTGACTGTCAGCTGCATTAAGATCACTCTGACCAAAAGGTCATGAGTTCGAAGCCAGCCCGGATTGGAGTGGGCTTCCAACCAATTGTGTAGCCTGTTGTCGACCTTTGCAACCCGAAAGACAGTTGCATCTGTCAAGTAGGAAAATTAGGTACCACCTTAATGTGTGGGGAGGCTAAATTAACTAATTTATGAGGCCATAAAAAAGACTCCAGCAAAAAGCATGTGGGGAATGCGGAAGTACTTCATCAGTGTCGCAGATGGACGATGTTAGCGACAGCTCCCCTGGCGGCCAGAAAAAGTTAAATAGCCGCTGTGTATGTCTGTATACATTGTATGTCAAATTGGCATTGAATGTTTGCCATATATGTGTACACTGTAATCCGCCCTGAGTCCCCTGCGGGGTGAGAAGAAGGGTGGAATATAAATGCTGTAAATAAATAAATAAACTTCATTAATGGCGGACGCAATTGCGCAACAGCCCTTCTCCTTGCCCTTGTTCTCTGCTGCCCTGCTCTTCTTCCCCTGCAACAGCAAGAACACACAAGCGGAAGCAAAGCAGGCAGGCAACAGCCCTGCTCCCAGCCCTTCTCTGCCTGCCCTGGTCTTCCAACCGCTCTTCTTCCAACCTCCTTTCACAACCTTCCTTCCCTTCCTCTTTCCCCTTCCCTTCCCGGGCTCACAATGAGCCTCTGAGCCATATATAGTGCAATGGCTGCCGTGCCGAAACCCTGCCCCTCCCCTCCCCAAAACTTCTTCCCTCATTGGCTGGGAGGCAAGCATCCCAGCATGCAAGCTGCTTGCCTCCAAACGCTGAGTCACTTCCGACTCACTTCCTGAGTCGGAAAAAAAATGGCGAGAGAAGCTTCGGAAGGGCAAAGGGAATTCTGGTTTTCTTTAAAACTCCAAAAAAATTTCAATAAGGTAATTTTTCTGATTTTATTCCAAATTCTGAAGATTCCAACAGTACCTAACCATGCCTAATATATATATATTTATTATTTATTTATTTACTTCATTTGTATACCGCTTTCTCTCAGCCCGTAGGCGACTCAGAGCGGTTTACAACCAAATCAGTATACAAAGTGCACAACATTAGCATTTAAAACAGTAACCATGGCAACTACATCAATATAACAAAACATCAATACATCAATATAACATCAGTACATCCATATAACTAATCCATCACGTCTCATCAGTAAGGTACCTCATATACCACCAATTAAGGAGCCCCCGGTGGCGCAGTGGGTTAAACCCCTGTGCCGGCAGGACTGAAGACCGACAGGTCACAGGTTCGAATCCGGGGAGAGGCAGATGAGCTCCCTCTATCAGCTCCAGCTCCTCATGCGGGGACATGAGAGAAGCCTCCCACAAGGATGATAAAAACATCAAAATCATCCAGGCGTCCCCTGGGCAACGTCCTTACAGACGGCCAATTCTCTCACACCAGAAGTGACTTGCAGTTTCTCAAGTCGCTCCTGACACGACCAAAACCACCAATTAAGATCCATAAAAACTTTCGAGCAGTTTACTGCAACAGAAATATAATCACAATACAATACAAAGAAAAATATGATTTAAAATATAATTTTAAGGGGAAAAACACTTGAAATGATAATGGGAAACATCTACATTGAGCATTTAGGTCAGTGTAGAAATGGATCAGCTCCATGGCAACTACACATAACATGGTGCTCATTCATGATAAGACAGTGCAAGGCCCCCTTAATATGGAGAACAAAACATATGAGGAAAGGGTGACAGAGCTAGGAATGTTCAACTTGGTGAAGACAAGACAGGAATAGCATGATAATGCTCATGGATATGTTTGCAAGTATGTGTTGTGGTCAGACAGATGAAGATGAGGGGACTGGGGTTTCAGAGCCCGGGAGAGTGGTGGATGGTTCTTTTGATGAGGGAAATGAGGGGATTTCAGAGCAAGATTTTGTCTGTGAAAAGGGGCTTGAAAGTGGGACTGCTTTGGAGTCCAGCAGACAGGGAGATGACCTTTTGCTCACAAGGAGCTTAACAACCCCTGATAAAGACCTGGCAGACCAAGATAGCTCATCTGAAGGAACAGCTGGTCTAGAAGGGGATATCAGGCTTGATCTTAAGAAGAAAAACATCAAGCTCAGGAAATTCAAAAGACCCAGTGAGACAGAAGGACAAAGAAAGTTTCACAAGACAGAAAGTCAAGGTCAAAGAAATGCCTTCATGTTTTTCAGCCCTTAAATTACGGAGTGTCTCATTGAGAATTCAGATCAGGCAACGCTGTGTAATAGTAAGGATGTCAAGTTCATAGTTTTAGTCTAAGTTCCTGGGAGTTTTGATTGTGTTTAAGAAGTTCTTATAGCCTTGTTTTTTTCTGGATTCATGTTCATGTTTTGATTCTTGTTTCCTTGGATCGTGTTGTGATTCTTGTTTTCCTGTATCATTTGAATTATTTGTATTATTGTTTTTGAAGCGTTTTACTCCTCACCAGCTTGGCTGGGTTTTTCCTTATTGACTACCTTTCTGATTACCTGATCTATCTTCAATAAACTGTTTTACTACTGGTTTTGGATTCCTGGTTGGTGGCAAGGTGAACTTTGGCTGGGGTGCAACAATACTGAAAGCAATTTGCCTGCTTCTTGGCAGGGGGTTGGACTGCATGGCCCATGAGGTCTCTTCCAACTCTATGATTCTATGATTTTGTGATTCTATGAATATGCATACATAAAACAGGGAGTATACAATATAAAGGAAGAGTACCTTCCAATTACTACACCGCAGATCCAACCAGTCCATCCTCCAGGAAATAAAGCCCGACTGCTCACTGGAGGGAAAGATACTAGAGACAAAGTTGAAGTACTTTGGCCACATCATGAGGAGACAGGAAAGCCTAGAGAAGACAATTATGCTGGGGAAAGTGGAAGGCAAAAGGAAGAGGGGCCGACCAAGGGCAAGATGGATGGATGGCATCCTTGAAGTGACTGGACTGACCTTGAGGGAGCTGGGGGTGGTAACGGCCGACAGGGAGCTCTGGCGTGGGCTGGTCCATGAGGTCACGAAGAGTCGGAGACGACTGAACGAATGAACAACAACAAAATCATTTGTCTCATCTCACCAGGTTTCAATAATGCCAATTAAATTATATTTGTGTCAAGAGTTGTGTGTTAAGAGTTCAAGTTCACCTTATTTATTTCCCAAGTACATTAGTATTAAACATGTGAAACTATGGGTTACTACCTCCACATGCTTTCTTACTGTTTCTTCTATATTCCACCTTATATCAACGTCAGTTTCCCATGCATCATTTATGTTCTTATCCTAACCCTTGGTTTCTTTCTTTCTCCAAAATATTCTTTCCTTCCCCAGATTATTCAAATCAACTGCTATGAAATGCAAGCCATCTCTTGCCAGACGTCCTTCCTCATGAAACTGCAGACTTGCTTGGCAAGACAGTCTGAAAAGCTGAAAATATTTTATATACCTCTAGCGAGGAGGTATCACAAAAAGAAGCCGTGTTTTCCCATTTGTTTTACTCTAGGGATTATTTTATTAAATAACTTCCATATGCTACAAGAGCAATTGAAAAGAGGGACTGTTAAAAAAAAAGTCTGTGACACAACACTATTTTTGAAAATGACAGCAATGCTTATGTGCATTATAGAGTCACATTTTGACATTCAAAGACTAAAATGAAAGATGTAGGGCAAGATTACGTCTCAAAAACCATATTAAGTGGAACGATGAGAAAACCATGCAACTATGGCTTGGATTCAAAGAAGATCAAGTCTGGTGGGAGTCTCCAATGGGCCATTGCACATAGAGATTCAAGGGGATCAGGTCCTCAATAAAACCAATTGTTTCTCACAGCTCTATCTGAAGCCCCCATTGCTGGCAACTACTCAGTTCATAAAATAACCAAACACTTAGACAAAAAGGAGAAGCTGGAGAGCTTTTCTCTCAAGCCAAACTCCAGCTGCTTTCATATCACAGGAATCCCCAATAGCCTCCAACCTTACATCAGTATGTGGATCTCTCCCTCCTGGTTTTTAGTAAGGCCCTACCTCCCATTAATCCTATATGACGAATGTATATTGCGTGCTTTCCATTAAACTCAAATACTAAATTGAGGATGCTCAGGCAGAATAAGTTATATAGATCCAACTGATGAACCTTATTATATTCTGTCAAAGGACTTAGTCTACTAGGAACTGTATCCCTCCTCCTTTAAAAGTACAGTGTTCCCTCGCTATTTATTTTATTATTTTATTTTGGTTTCTTCTACCCCGCCCTTCTCACCCCGGGGGGGGGGGGGACTCAGGGCGGCTTACAAAAGCAAGGCACAATTCGATGCCCGCATCACATAACAGCAAAAGACAGTAACATCAGTTAACAAGAAAGAAATTCTAGCAATAGCAACAATTAACAGAAAACAATAATTATTATAGGCGAAAACAACCATAAAACCAATAAAAGCAATAAAACCAATAAAACCAATACAAACCTCATTGACAGTCAGCGTTTCACAATCTCATAGTTTATAAATTCCAATTCCACAATTGTCAGTCCTTTCAGTCCTATCTATCTGGTTTCCATATCTAATAGTCAGGTTGCCCAAAGGCCTGGTCCCACAACCACGTCTTTACCTTCCTCCTGAAGGCGAGGAGGGATGTTGATGCCCTGATTTCCCCCGGGAGAGAGTTCCACAGGTGAGGGGTATAAAGACTCGTATATGGCACCACTAATATATCTTGACAGGGGGGAAAACAGATCCCACCAACTGTCCCTCCAATATAAAGAATTCGCTGGCACCTGTATAACGTTTGAGGGGATATTTCTCTAATTAGCTTCCGCTGCCACCATATACTGAAATGCACAGGAACACCCTAGCTGTTTAAAATCTTAAAAGGGTTTTTAGGACCACCAAGCACTGTGCTTTATAATTTGCTTCTTCAAAGGAAAACAATTGAGATTGTTTGAGAAAGGGACTATACCCACGAATGGCACACTTGACTCAGGCTTTTTGAGTTTTAAAATAAACAAGTTTATTGATGAAAATACAGAAAGAAGTAAATACTGTTTAGAATCTTGGCGGTTACAGAGAAAATCTGGTTTGTCTTGCAAGCATAATGGTTACATGTAAATGGTTCTTTCTTTGTTACAACACAGAGATTTTCTTCTCTTTAAACCAAGTACTCTTGGCAGGAACTGAATCTCTGTCAAGATACAACTGTAGCTTAGCTACCCTAAACTGTGGCCTAGCTAACTACAAATCCAGCTATCTCTCCCTGATAGCTGTTCCCAGTTTGCTACAGCTTACTTCGCTGGCAAACCTCAGGCAAACTGCCTATTCTTAACTATTCTCAAACACACGAACTCCTAAACTACCTTCCTACTCTAATTGCTAACACCAAACAGACTCCCTGAAAAAGCCTCTTTCTTTCCCTCCAAACCTTGCTAAACTCCGCCCCCTTTCTGAACCAATCCTGGCTGTTCTAATGCTAACTCAGGCCTAGGACACTCCCCCTCTCTAAAATGGTGTTTTTTCCCTGAACTAAAATGGCTACTGCTGCCCTCTGCCAGGCCTACTAAAGCTGCAACTAACTGGCCTGCTGTTCCTAGGCCCTGCCATCCAGGCTGGAAAGGTAAGGGATCTTTACAAGGGGCCACCACTGAGAAGGCCCTTCTCCTCATCCCCACCAGCCTCACTTGTGATAGCAGTGGGGTCGAGAGCAGGGCCTCCCTAGATTCCAGGGTGGGACGTAGAGGGAGATACGTTCGGACAGATACACTGGACCGGAACCGTAAAGGTTTTGTAGGTCAAAACCAGCACCTTGAATTGTGCTCGGAACTGAACCGGCAGCCAGTGGAGCTGACACAGCAGGGGGGTGGTGTGCTCCCTGTATGTCGCTCCGGTGAGCAATCTGGCTGCCGCTTGCTGGACCAGTTGAAGTTTCTGAACAGTCTTCAAGGGCAACCCCACGTAGAGTGCGTTGCAGTAGTCTATACGGGATGTAACAAGAACGTGGACCACAGTGGCCAGATCAGACTTCCCGAGGTACGGGCGCAACTGGTGCACAAGTTTTAATTGCGCAAAAGCTCTCCCAGCCACCGCCGAGACCTGGGGTTCCAGGTTCAGCGATGAGTCCAGGATCACTCCCAAGCTGCGAACCTGTGTCTTCAGGGGGAGTGTAACCCCATCCAGCACAGGCTGTAACCCTATACCCTGTTCGGCCTTACGACTGACCAGTAGGACCTCTGTCTTGTCTGGATTCAGTTTCAATTTGTTAGCTCTCATCCAGTCCGACACAGCATCTAGACACCGATTCAAGGTCTGGACAGCCTCCTTGGTGACAGGTGAGAAGGAGTGACAGATCTGGACATCATCTGCATAGAGATAACATCTCAGTCCGAAACTCCGAATGATCTCCCCCAGCGGCTCGCCATATCACGGGGAGCAGCGAGGGAACATTATAGCTGCTCCCCGTTCCTTTCCTCACCAGGCTAGGTACCCTTGGGCACCCAACCTGGTGAGGAAGGGACCCTCCAAGGCGAGGAGCAGCGGAGGTGGCGAAGAGGAGGAGGCCACTACCAAAAAGGGCCTTGGCGGCGGCTTCTCCCTCACCCTTCCGCTGCTCCGCGCTCCTTCCTCACCAGACTGGGCACCAGGCTTGGGCACCTAGCCTGGGGAGGAAGAGACCCTCCAAGGCATGGAGCAGCGGAGGTGGCGAGGAGGAGGTCACCACAAAGTAGGGACACTCGGCTCACCTTGACTCGCGTATAAGCCGAGGAGGACTTTTTCAGCCTAAAACAAGGGTTGAAAAACTAGGCTTATACTTGAGTATATACAGTACATTACAACGCATGCGCAAAACTACATATATATACACATCTATATACACACGATATATACAGGGCCTTCTCGGTGGTGGCTCCCCGGCTGTGGAACACCCTTCCCGCAGAGATTAGATTAGCACCATCGCTAATGGTCTTCCGCAAAAAAGTAAAGACCTGGTTATTTGTGCAGGCGTTCGAATAATTAGTGCAAGACTGGTAATGACATAGGAATGGAACAATGGATGACGAATTTGGATCATGTTTTTAGTGATGAGATGCTAGTGAATGGTTATCATAGTAATTGTGTATTAATTGTGTATTAGATTAGGTTATTAACTGTTTATATTGATGTTTGAATTCTGCTGTGTTTTGTGTCTTGTGAACCGCTGTGAGTCGCCTTCGGGCTGAGAACAGCGGTATAGAAGCAAAGTAAATAAATAAATAAATATACACAAATATATATACACACACACACATATATATACACACACACAAAACACATATACACAGACTGGGCCACAGGAACACATGGCAGGGGACGGCTAGTAAAGGATAAATGATAAACATTTCCTTACTTTTTTCTGCTGAGAAATGCATCTTAGTTTGCCCTCGCACCAACCTGCACGTTGAACCATCGCCTGCACAGACGCCACAGTTGTCTTCCTTGGCATGGCTCCCGAGTTGCCGATCGCAGCCGACTGCCTGCCAATATCAACACCACAGTCAGGAGGGCAGAACTGACACAGATCACTCACGTTTCTAAAAACAACTTTTCTTAAAATTATATTATCACTTTGGGTGTTATGCTCTGGCTCCGTTATCTCAAAAAACATATTCAGGCATCCCCATTTGTAAGCACAAAGGGGAGTTAAAGTCATTCTACAATCAAAGTTATTTTGGTATCCTTCCCGAACAAATGGGTGGATTCTGACCGATTGAAAAGATCAGAAATAATAATAATAATAATAATGGGTTGTTGTAGGTTTTTTTGGGCTATATGGCCATGGTCTAGAGGCATTCTCTCCTGACGTTTCGCCTGCATCTATGGCAAGCATCCTCAGAGGTAGTGAGGATGCTTGCCATAGATGCAGGCGAAACGTCAGGAGAGAATGCCTCTATACCATGGCCATACAGCCCGAAAAAACCTACAACAACCCAGTGATTCCGGCCATGAAAGCCGGAATACAATAATAATAATAATAATAATAATAATAATAATAAGTAATAATAACAATAACAACAATAACATCAACAACAACTGGAAAAGCTGACATGATATGAGGATTTAGAGATCAAACTGCAAAGACTCTGGCACAAGCCAGTCAAGGTGGTCCCAGTGGTGATCGGCACACTGGGTGCAGTGCCTAAAGACCTTGGCCTGCACTTAAACACAATAGGCACTGACAAAATTACCATCTGCCAGCTGCAAAAAGGCCACCTCACTGGCATTATTGGTTGATACACCACACAGTCCTAGACACTTGGGAAAGGTCCGATGCATGATCCAATACAACAGCCAGCAGAGTGTCTGCTGTGAACTCATCTTGTGGTGTTTCTAATAATAATAATAATAATAATAATAATAATAATAATAATAATAATAATAATATATTTATTTATTTACAGTATTTATATTCCGGGGAGTTGCGTGAGCTCCCACTGTCAGCCCCAGCTTCTGCCAACCTAGCAGTTCGAAAACAGACAAATGTGAGTAGATTAATAGCTAATGCTCCAGCGGGAAGGTAACAGCGCTCCATGGAGTCATGCTGGCCACATGACCTTGGAGGTGTCTACGGACAACACCTGCTCTTCGGCTTAGAAATGGAGATGAGCACCACACCCCAGAGTCAGACACATCTGGACTTAATGTCGGGGAAAACCTTTACCTTTACTTTATATTCCGCCCTTCTCACCCCGCAGAGGACTCAGGGCAGATTACAATGCACATATACATGGCAAACATTCAGTGTCATTTAGACATACAACGTATATAGACAGACACAGAGGCATTTAACATTCCAGCTTTTCCAGCTTCATGAAGGTATGCTCGATTCCGGCCACAGGGGGAGCTGCCACTTCACCGCCCACTTGTGACCTGTGATGGAGGACTTCCTCATTCTTCTGTGCGCTGCTGGAAGGTTTTATGGTTTCATAAATTACTTAAATTAGCCTGCCCTCATAAAGCGGTACCTTGCTTGGATTTTATTAAACGTGTGTTTTGCATATTTGCTCCTTCATACATATGACTCAGAGATGGTCAGTAAGGAAGGGAGATTTTTCAAGAGTGACTTGAGAAACTGCAAGTCGCTTCTGGTGTGAGAGAACTGGCCATCTGCAAGCACATTGGCCGGATGTTTTGATGTTTGACCATCCTTGTGGGAGGTTTCTCTCTTATCCAGGCCCTGCTCTCGGTCCCACCTTCGTCACAAGCATGGCTGGCGGGGACGAGAGACAGGGCCTTCTCAGTGGTGTCCCATTGGCTATGGAATGCCCCTAAGGACATCAGATCAGCCCCCTCCCTTTTAACATTCCGGAAGAGAGCTAAAACTTGGCTTTTTAAGCTGACATTTGCAAATACGGTGTAACAGACATAGGAAAATGGAATGGTTTGATTATGTTGTTGGATGATTTTTTTTAACCCTAATTGATTTTATTGATTCCGTTATGGTTTTATTATTCAATTGTTTTATTATATTGAAATTGTATTTTATGGTCTTGGTACCAATTGTAAACCATCCCGAGTCACCTGCGGGCTGAGAGGGACGGTATATTACTGCAGTAAATAAATAAAGAAATGAATTATCCCCACATGGTCAGCTGGAGCTAACAGAGGGAGCTCATCCGCGCTCTTCCTGGATCCGAACCTCCGACCTGTCGGTCTTCAGTTCTGCCAGTAGTAGGGAAGGGTTTTTTTGTGTCAGGAGTGACTTGAGAAACTGCAAGTTGCTTCTGGTGTGAGAGAATTGGCCGTCTGCAAGGATGTTGCCCAGGGGACGTTGGCCGGATGTTTTGATGTTTGACCATCCTGGTGGGAGGCTTCTCTCTTGTCCCCTCATGGGGAGCTGAAGCTAACAGAGGGAGCTCACCCGCACTCTTCCCAGATTCGAACCTCTGACCTGTCGGTCTGCAGTCCTGCGGGCAGTAGGGAAGGGTTTTTTTCATGTCAGGAGTGACTTGAGAAACTGCAAGTTGTTTCTGGTGTGAGAGAATTGGCCGTCTGCAAGGACATTGCCCGGATGTTTTTAAGTTTGACCATCCTGGTGGGAGGTTTCTCTCTTGTCCACTCATGGGGAGCTAGAGCTAACAGAGGGAGCTCATCCGCACTCTTCCCAGACTCAAACCTCCAACCTGTTGGTCTTCAGTCCTGCCAGCAGTGGGGAAGGGAGGTTATTTTTTCGTGTCAGGAGTGACTTGAGAAACTGCAAGTTGCTTCTGGTGTGAGAGAATTGGCCGTCTGCAAGGATGTTGCCCAGGAAACGTTGGCCGGATGTTTTGATGTTTCACCATCCTGGTGGGAGGCTTCTCTCTTGTCCCCTCATGGGGAGCTAGAGCTAACAGAGGGAGCTTATCCGCTCTTCCCAGATCCGAACCTCTGACCTCCGAACCTTCAGTCCTGCCAGAAGTAGGGAAGGGAGGTTATTTTTGTGTGCCAGGATTGACTTGAGAAACTGCAAGTCGCTTCTGGTGTGAGAGAATTGGCCGCCTGCAAGGACATTGCTCGGATGTTTTGATGTTTGACCATCCTGGTGGGAGTGACTTGAGAAACTGCAAGTCGCTTCTGGTGTGAGAGGATTGGCCGTCTGCAAGGTCATTGCCCAGGAGACATTGCCCAGATATTTTGGTGTTTGACCATCTTGGTGGGAGGCTTCTCTCTTGTCCCCACACGGGGAGCTAGAGCTAACAGGGGGAGCTCACCCACAATCTTCCTGGATTCGAACCTCCGACCTGTCGGTCTTCAGTCCTGCCAGCAGTAGGGAAGGGAGGTTATTTTTTCATGTCAGGAGTGACTTGAGAAACTGCAAGTCGCTTCTGGTGTGAGAGAATTGGCCGTCTGCAAGGATGTTGCCCAGGGGACACCTGGATGTTTTGATGTTTGTGGGAGGCTTCTCTCATATCCCCGAATGGGGAGCTGGAGCTAACAGAGGGAGCTCATCTATGCTCTTTCTGGATTCAAACCCATTGCGCCACAGGGGGCTTTTTAAAGGGAAGGGAGTAAAAAAGCAGGAAGACAACTTCTAGTTGAAGGAATTAAATGGAAAATGCATCAAATATCACAAATTGGAAGCCTGTTCCAGTGCAGCTATCTGCGAGAATGAATACGCTCTGTCGTTTTCTGCTTCCTTCATTACTTAGAGGATTACGACGATGTGACCTATGATCAGAAACGGGGAAGATCCTTTGGCTTTTCTGCCTCAAGCTCCTTCGACGTCTTAGGCAATCTCTGCTCGCAGAGGGAGACAGGGGTGCTGTCCTTTGTGGAATGCAACCTATCGAGCGTCAGATAATGAAAAAGCCCTGCAGATGTATCTGGCACATTGCTTATGTTCATGTGATTGATGTAGATCTTATCAGAGGAGCGTCATTGATTTGAAGCAGCCACAAATCTCATAAAAGCTCCGGGGATCAGGCACAGCGGTCGTCTCTTTTGAAACTCGGCTTGCTATCTCCCAACTGGCTCCAAAGTTCTATCTGGGGGAGAGGCAGCATTGCACATTTTGATCCAGATCATACTTCTTCCTCCCAAACTGAAAGTGGACACCACTGGCGGGTCAAGGAGTTCGCTAAGATGGAATGAAGCATGGTATCATTACACAAGGCAACACACATTTCAGTGCCCCATGGGGAGCCTTCGGTGGCACAGTGGGTTAAAGCGCTGAGTTGCTCAACTTGCTGACTGAAAGGTCGCAGGTTCGAATCCGGGGAGTGGGGTGAGCTCCCACTGTCAGCCCCAGCTTCTGACAACCTAGCAGCTTGAAAACATGCAAATGTGAGTAGAGTCCATGACATGCGAGTGTAGAGAAGTGCAAACCACAGACCACTTACTACAGGGTACAGCAGCATAACTTCCTTTTTTCAAAACTTAATAAATCAGAAATATTTTATATAATGTAGGCACATACCTAAAGCTCACAACCTGGGGATCACAACCAGATACAGTGATGACATCTGCTCCTCTGCTGCTGAGTATGCATGCCCGGTGTGGAACACATCTCACCACGCTAAAACAGTGGATGTGGCTCTTAATGAGACATGCCGCATTATCACGGGGTGTCTGCCCTACACCACTGGAGAAATTACACTGCTTAGCCGGTATTGCACCACCTGACATCCGCCAGGAAGTAGCAGACAATAGTGCAAGGACCAAGGCACAGACATCTCCAGCTCATCCCGTTTGGGTATCAGCCAGCACGTCAACGACTTAAATCAAGAAATAGTTTTCTTAGATCTACAGAGACACTCGCTGGAACACCTCAGCAAGCGAGAGTTCAAAAGTGGCAGGCTCAAACCCGGCACCTCAATCCGTGGGTGATACTGATGTCAAGCGCACCCCCCGGGGACACAGAGGACTGGGCGACTTGGAAGGCACTGAACAGACTGCGATCTGGCACCACGAGATGCAGAGCCAACCTCAAGAAATGGGGCTACAAAGTGGAATCCACGACATGCGAGTGTGGAGAAGAGCAAACCACTGACCACCTGCT